TTGAGGCGGGGTAGGGGGCGACGCCGACCTGGGCGGGCGACAGCTTAGTCCGCTTCCCCTCCGAGTTCTTCACCACGCTTTTGCCAGAGGCTTTGACGATGGCCAGGAGACCCTGGTAGCCGCTGGCGTGCAGGGGGTAGGGGCTGTAGCGTTGCCCCGTGGTGTCGTAGCCGTTGACCGTCCGGTTAAGGTGCTTGTGCTGGGGGACCCTGATGTTAGTGGGGAAGATCTTGATGGTCAGCGGGCTGTTGGCCACCTTCTGTGCGTAGGCGTCCAGCTCGGCGGGGCTGGGGTAGCGCGGCGAATGCATGGGTGCCGCCGTCTCGCCTATGGGAGCAAAGCAGAGGGTGAATACGGCGCTGCTGGGACCCGACACCCATCAACCCTCATCAGCCATCATCCCAGCACCCATCATCCCAGCACCCATCACCCTGGGTCCCACCAACTCCCAGCAGAAACCAGGTCAAGGCACCAAGCTGCCCCTTCCCGCTGCCAGAGTCACTTCTAAAGTGGCCTAAAATAAACTCGGTGTGGAGAATGGAAATGTCACTTTACCCAACGGGGGAATCTTTCTCCGAGATTGGATTTAAACTACATTATACAAGCAATTTCATGGGTGCTTTGCGCTGCTACGAGAACCTCACCAAAAATGGAAAAGCATTGCATTTACCAGCCATAAATCAGCAGTTCCTATAATGAGCACAAAAATGTCACTTTTATGCAATTTTACAGATGAACAAAACTGGTGAAATTAACTGTGGTAACCTACTGGAGTCAGCAAAAGCCACTGCAGAAAAAAAACCTATATATGTATATATTTTTGTTCATTTCAAACTCTTTTCCCGAGCAAGTTTCTGCCATTCTGGTGTGAAAACTCATTTGTCGTACCCATTATACTTTCATTTGGAGTTTATCTTGAGTATCCAATGAGCCACCAACTGTGAAAATGATTAAATCTACAAAATCTATCTAATAGATGGAATAAATTAGGTGTTTAAAATCTCCACGCACACACACACACACACACGGTGGCACACAGGGGACAACGTTTGCTCCCGAAATCTCTGTCCTTGCCGGGGGACATCTGCAGCACCTTGGCAATGCCAGACCCTTTTGCAAATGATGCTGAAATCGGGGATGAATTTGGGGCTGGTGCCCCCGCACTGGGCAGCCCCAGCCCTCCCAGGGACCCTTCCCCTGCTGCCAGGCAATTTTGGGGTCTCCCGGGCAGCGCAGCCCTGCGGTACCTGGGGAAGGGGACAGCAGGGACCTGGCATCCCCATGGGGACACATGGAGGACTCTGCTCCGGATGCCACCAGGACCAGCGATTCCCAATTCAGTGCAAACAAAGCCGTTAATTGCTCCACAACGCCCGTCTCGGTCCTGCTCTGATGTGATGTTAAAGCTGGGATTTGGGGGGGAGCTTGGGGCGCTGGCAGCTGCCGGACCCCAGGTCACCCCCCTGCAGCAGTGCAACATCTGGGGGGGACAGAGGAGCGGGGCCGTGGCCGTCCTGGCCATGGGAGCAGTATTTTCACAGGCAGAACGGCTGTGCGCTCGTCAGCCATTCCTCCCATTAAGCTGCTGTTATGGGCTTTTTACAGGTGTCTTAAATAGACACTGTTATTAACGAGTATATTAAGCCAATTAAAACCAGGGCCTTTGAGTAGGATTTAATGTCACTGCCGGGAGACAGGAGGCAGGGCAGCGGCAGCTCCCTGCGGCGCGACACGTGCAGGTACATCCCGGCATGGCCAGCATCGCCCGGCAAATGCCCAAAAGCTCTGACCGGGTGGCACCGGCACCCTCGGAGTGGCCAGGCTGGGTGCGGGCATCCCATGTACCGGCGGGACGCCGGCACGGCACATCTGCATTCCCCTTCATGCTGGCCCCACTGTCCTTGGAGGTGGTAGCATCACGAATACTCAATTAACATGACACTAATTAGCTGGTGACACTCGCAGAATCCCTAATCAGCACGGAAACGCTTCGTTCCAAGCAGAAATGATAAGAAAAGAGGTCGTTGCTGGAGGGAGGTGGCATTGCCTGAGTGCGAGTCACCAAAACCCTGTCCCTGAGCACTGGGGCTGTGGGGGATGCTTTTGGGATGGCCCCGTGCAGCCCCCCCTGGGTGAGCTGAGCTGGGCCATGGCCGTCCCAGCGCCAGCTGAGAGCCACCTTTGTCACCTCCTGTCCCCAGCTGTGCTGGCTGTGACAAGCCACCGATGCGGTGTGTTGTCACATATCAGGGTGACGCACCGCACCCCCCGCCGGGAAAATTACAGCGCGACCTATTTCCCGGCGGCTCCTGGCGCGCTCCCCCTCTCCACAGTAATTACCGCTTCCTAACGGGCTGTAATTACTGCGCGACGCAGCAAACTCTCCCAACCAGCGCCGGCACCATCAGGCACAGGCAGCTCTGCCACAGCCGCCACCCTTGCCTCCTACTCTTGAACCTGATTGAACCAACAGAGCCGCCACGAGCAACCCCGGCTCTTGCCACCCCAAAACCAAACCCGGAACAGCACCCAGCCATGGCTGCATCTCCCAAAAAATGCTCTGCTGGCTCTCGGCTCCCTCATTGGCGTTCCCACGGGATGCGGCCAGCACAGCCCTCGCCCCGGGCTCCCCCTCCCTCCCTGACCTGCTCTATTTTTCCAGCCTGCACTCAATAACAGCTAAATAATTGAATCTGCTCAGCAGCCAAAGATTTGTTTTGAATTTTATTGGAATTTTAAATTGTTTTGTTTCTTCAGTATTTTATTACTGTAAATGGAAAATGCATCGCCCGCAGTAATAATCCGATGGCTTCTTATATTACTCCGAGCTTCTGC